GTGTGTGCCCAAGATCCCGAGAGAAAAATGGAGGAGAAGGGATTGCTGTGTGGCCATCTCCCCTGGGGGTTGATTTCTCACTTTCTGTCTCTCTGTCTCTGTCTGTCTGTCTGGCGAGTGCACATACCCTATAGCGAAAAACCTCTCCAAAAAAAAAAAAACAAGGGGGTAGGTAAGAGAAGACTAGAACCCTGCACTTTGAAAACACAGGGAAGCCATCTATACATTTAATGTAAAATATACCTATGTTATCACAGAGATAAGATCAAGTAGAATACAATTTTGTTCTTATGTTGTTTTGAAGGCCAGTTCTAAATCTTTACTTTTTTCTAATTGTTAGAGGGTACATGCACTAGCTAAAGATGGGGAGGGAGGGAGAAAAGAGAGAGAGAGGGAGAGCAAGAGACAGAGAGATGGAGATGCAAAGCGCCCCCCAGTGGGGTATGGTCACACCACAATCCCTTCTGCCCATTTCCCACTCTGTCAGGATTTGGGGCACACGAGCACATACATCTGGTGCATTTTTCAAGCTGTCAGGGCTGAGATTTGACACGTGTGTTCAGTCACATAAGATCGAGCTCCCAATGCACAGGTCTTAACCACTGCACAAGAGGGTTAGCCCTAAATTCTTACTTTAAGCACACTACCCACTAAAACCAATCCTTAGGGACCTGCCGACCTGTATGATATGCTTATAGCATCACTTTTCACTGAATGTCCTAGGCCCATATATGGAGTGGGAGAGTCACGTTCAAATGTCAGATCATCTCGCTGGAAACAAGTGCAAGTCACCTAAGTTTCTGCTTTTAGAACACTGAATTTTTTAAAAGAATTATTTTATATAACTTTATCTATTTATTTATTTTAATTTGACCAGAGAGGGACAGAATGAGAGAGAGAGAGAGAGAGCAAGAAAGCAAAACACAAGGTCTGAGAGTTGAACTGCAGTCGGTCATGTGGGAGTCCAGAGCCCTTAACCACCACACCACCTGCCAGTCCCCAGAACAATGAATCATTACTGATTTTTCCACTGGGAAAAATCTCTCAGTACATTTCTTTGGAAAAGAACCTTTTTCTAAAGAGTGATATTTACATCTATTCCAACTAAAACAACTAAAACAAATCTATGCTTCTTTAAAAAATACATTCATAAAATTCTTGGGGGAAAAATAGCTGTAAGAGACAATACTGGAACAATTTCGCTCTACTAAATACGGACTGGGAATTAGACAAAGGATTTTATCAAAGCTAAATTTCTTGATTTTGATCACTGTGCTGTAGTTACATGAGGAAACGTCCAGGACCAGCAGTTAGCATAATGGCTATATCTCTGGACTCCCATGTAGTCGACCGCAGTTCAAGTCCCGGACCTAGTGGCTTAAACTCACACTGGGTGCATATGCGTACGTGCCCAAGATCCCAAGAGGAGAATGGAGGAGAAGGGATTGTGGTGTGGCCATCCCACCTGGGGAGGGATTTCTCGCTGTCTGTCTCTCTCTGTCTTTCTGGTGAGCGCACATGTTCTATAGCAAAAACCTCTCCAAAAATAGAAAAAAAAATAAAAGAAAATGTCCTTGGTCTTAGGAAATACTGAAGTAGTTCATAGTTAAGGACTACACTGTCTCTGAATTACTGTCAAGTGGATCAGAAAAGAATACATGTATGGTTCTAATTGACAGAAGGCATGGGCATCACCAGAGAGAGACAGAGAAAGAAGGTGAGGGAGCACTCCCCAATGAGACGTGGTCACACCACAATCTCTTGTCCATTTCTATATCCTGTTGGGATTCTGGACAAGCGTGTGCACAGATCTGATGCATTTTCCAGGCCACTAGGGCCAGGACTTGAACCATGTAATCTATTGCAGCTTCCTTAACCACTAGACCACAGGACCAGCCCCAAAACATGTTTAAAATACATAAAATGCATATGTATGCATTGGGTGGTCTGAAAAGTCATGACACATTTTTGCAGAGAAAAAAAACAGAAAAATATGTCATGACTTTTTCAATAACCCAATATGTGACATTATGTGGATAAATAAAAAATTACTATTAAAGAAAACAGCACAAAACATTAACAACTGAAGATCTGGATAAAAGGGATATAGCAATTCTTTGTAGTTTCATGGAACTTTTCTATAAATTTAAAGTTATATCAAACACAAAGATTTAAAAAAAATAATAATAATAACCTGATCACAAGGATCCATCTTTGTTGCTTGGACTTACCTGCCTCTCACTCACTCGAAGAGGACCAAACACAATACACTGGATAAGTTTAGCCACCAACATCAAAACACAGCACGCAGTATTTACAAGAACCTGTGCACAAATGAGAAAGACAGAAAGTTTATTTCCTCTTACTGGAAAATAAAAGCAGCTCTAAAATTTTCATATTAGGAATTTGGACATCATTTCCAATGATGAAGCTTTCTGATCCCTTCCAGTGCAAGATAACGGACAACTTTCTTATGACCTTGAGGAAAACTGTTCTGGAAATTGAAGAGTAAAATCTAGCACCTAAATATCTTGCCTTGACAAAAGGTGGTGGTGGTAGAGGCGTTGATGTTGGCAAAAGTCACAATACTAACTGCTAACCGAAAAAACATACATTGTAACATGTACTACACTGGGACACTATGTCAACTAAAAGAGAAATGTTTGGACCAGCAGGTAGCATGGAGGTTAAGGCACTGGATCCCACAGGGCTGACTGTGTGGTGAGTCCCAGACCTGGAGGCTTAAAAATCATGCTGGGCACATATGTATGCACGCCCAAAAGTCCTAGAGGAGATTAGAGGAGAAGCGATTGCATAGCCATTCCCCCGGGGAGTGGGTTCTCCTTTCTCTCCACCTTTCTCTCTATCTCTTTCTGGAGAACACATGTGCCCTATAGCAAAAAATCTTTAAAAAATAACCATCCTCAGGACCACCAGTTAGCATAATGGTTATGTCACTGGACTCCCATGTAGTCGACTGCAGTTCGAGTCCCGGACCTGGTGGCTTCAACTTAAAAAACAGGGCACATGTGCGTGCGTACCCAAGATCCCAAGAGGAGAATGGAGGAGAAGGGATTGCGGCATGACCATCCCCCCTGGGGGGTGATTTCTCACTTTCTGTCTCCCTGCCTCTATCTGTCTTCTCAGCAAGCACACGCACCCTATAGCAAAAAAAAAATAAATAAATAAATAACCACCATTCACACTTGGTGTCAGTTCGAGGTCAAGGTTCTAGAGCACTGGAAAAGAGAAAAGAAAAAGAAAATTGATCAGAGGGACTGAAAAATGAAAGGCAACCTTGGAATACTAATTCAAAACCACGGCCTTCCTAAACAGTTGGTGAGAGAATAAAATTATTTTTTTAAATAATTAAGAGATGAATATCTTTACAAGTAAAGAATAAAATATAATGCTTACGAAATGGAATAGGTTTTCCTTGACCAAGAGTTTACTGTGGCAGGTCATATTACCTATGCTAAAATGATTTTTAAAACTCTGACCAAAAAAAGTCACAAAGATCTTAATAAAAATAGTAAAGATGCCTTTTTGTAAAGAATTATTTTATTTAACTTTATTTATTTATTTATTTATTTATTTTTATTTGACCAGAGAAGGACAGAGAGAGAAAGAGAGAGAGAGAGAGAGAGAGAGAAAGCAAGCCGCCAGGCCCAGGACTCAAACCTCTGATTCACTAAGTTTACAAGAAAGTGGCCATACTCCTCTTTCAAAGTCATTCTTCCCCTACTATGGAAAGCAAGTGATTACTCTAAAAATGAAAGAAAGAAAGACGATGGAAAAAAGTACTTTAAGAAAACAAGTTCCCAGGGCCAGCAGGTGGTATGGTGGTTAAGGCAGCTGGATTCCCACGTGACCAACCGTGATTTGAGTCCCCGACTCAATAGTTTGAAAATCAGGCCTAGCGCGTGTACATGTGCCCAAGATCCCAAAAGGAGAATGGAGAAGAACGAACTGTGGTGTGGCCATGCCCCCGATGGGTGATGTTGCACTTTCCCTCTCTGTCTCTTGCCTCTCTAGCCAGTACATGTGCCCTATGGGGAAAAAAAAAAAAAAACTAAAAAAATTTAAAAATACAAAAATTTTAAAACGTTCCCTAAGGGGAACTAGAAGGTGGCAGACCCAAATGAGAAGACTCTGGGTTTGTGTCTGGAGCTCTCCCTGAATACCCGAGCATGTGTGTGCCCATGATCCAGAACTTACAGTGGGGGTTGGAGGGGGGCTTATGACATGATGACCTTACTAGGAGTGACTGTCTCTGTCTCTCTCACTCATGGAAAAAATAAATAAGTGAACTTAAAAAAAGTGAAAGAAAGAAAGTTTTCTAAGGTATCTTCAGGCTCCCCTTAGCATCTTAGGCCTATCTAACAGTCTGATAAAAACAGATACTGCAGGGAACCAGCAGTTAGCGTAATGGCTATGTCGCTGGACTCCCACGCAGTCGACCGCGGTTCGCGTCTGGGACCCGGTGGCTTAAAACTCACGCAGGGCGCATGTGCGTGCATGCCCAAGATCCCGAGAGGAGAATGGAGGAGAAGGGATTGCGGCGTGACCATCCCCCCTGGGGGGTGATTTCTCACTTTCTGTCTCTCTCTGTCTGGCGAGCGCACGCGCCCTATAGCGAAAACCTCTCCAAAAAAAAAAAAGAAAAGAAAAACACATACTGCAGCCCTGATTTATTGCCAAACTATTCAGTTATGCTTAGTTCTGTCTGCCCAATGGGGCTAATAACATTGTGATATATTTTTAAAAGTGTGGGGACCAGCAGTTGGCGTAATGGTTATGTCGCTGGACTCCCATGCAGTCGACCACAGTTCGAGTCCCAGACCCGGCGGCTTAAACTCATGCCAGGCACGTGTGCATGTATGCCTAAGATCCCGAGAGAATGGAGAAGGGATTGCGGCGTGGCCAACCCCCCCCTCCAGGGTGATTTTTCACTTTGTCTCTCTGTCTCTCTCTGTCTTTCTGGCAAGCACACACGCCCTATAGCAAAAACCTCTCAAAAAAAAAAGAAAAAAAAAAAGTCTGAAACAAAAATAGTACTGCTGAAAAAATTGTTTTGGTTCTTAAATCCTTCAAATAATCAAGAAAAAAAAGTCCAAACTAGCTTTCCAAAACATCCTAATTTGTGACTCCCTGTGTTAACAGCCCTATTCAAAAAGATAACTTAAAACGCTAGTTTTTAGGGCAATGAAAGATGTTAAAAAGGCTCATCTTCATGTGCTCAAACCAGTCAACTGATACCTCAGCCATGTCAGTGAATAGAAATGTCATGTGACAAAAATCACAACTTCTCAGGCCTAATTCTCTAGGCAAACAGGATATTTTAAATCAGCCAAATATTCCCCAGCTTAATTACAACACCATTTTAAAGTAGAATTCTTCCTGCTTTTGCATATAGGCATACAAATTTTTAAAATAAATGCAACACACTTAGCACTTGTCATTAGAAAAAGGAGGGTGCTCAGGACCCTGACCTCAAAGAGCTTTTAGACTCTGAGCCACAGAACATAGCACACAATCTCGGAGCAGATAAGCAGCTTGCTCTGAGAATAATGAAGACAAAGAATTCCAAGTTAGGGTCGCTGAATCACTTCTCTACTCAAACACAGCATTTGTTCCCATCTTCAGTCACAAGCAAAAACTAAAGTAATATTTATTATTTCTCAGTTACACTTTATTTAAAGTTTAAAAGTTCAAAAATAAGGTATAAAAATTTGCATCTTTGATTTACCAAAAAAAGAAATGGCAAAAATCTCTCATAATCCCATCACCCAAAGAGAACCACTTCCTATTTTAACCTAAAGGTTTGAAAAAAGTACATGAAGACTAGAAATTTATGTAAAAAAGAAAGATATATTTCATAAAGTTTACACAAAAGCCAATGCTAGAAAGGATCTGAAGCAGTAAAAATTATTTTTAAGATTATAAACAAAGTATTTTTAAAGCACCTTAAAAATTATTAGTAACTATTTATTCTATGTCTATTTATAGAAAAATGTTGCAATTTCACAAATAGTGCTTTGTTCCAATAAGCAGATGATAACTTCACAACCTCAGTTGACAAAGGCTTGATAATTACAAATACTAAAGGAAACATAATTGTAGTATTCCTCGTTTAAAAGCAGATTCTTCTAGGTACCAGAAATATTTTCACAGAACCAAAATTTCAGACTAGGTTTAAAGCCACAGAATTGCAGGACAAATCTTTTCACCTCCAATAACCATATGGGAGCTCACTTTTTTATTTTTTTATTTTTTATTTTTTTGGAGAGATTTTTGCTCTAGGGCGCATGCACTCGCCAGAAAGACAGAGACAGAGAGATAGAAAGCGAAAAATCACCCCCCCAGGGGGGATGGCCAATCCCTTCTCCTCCATCCTCCTCTCGGGATCTTGGGCATTCACACACACACACACTGCGTGAGTTTAAGTTACTGGGTCCGGGACTCGAACCGCAATCGACTACATGGGAGTCCAGCGACATAGCCATTATGCTAACTGCTGGTCCTAGGGCTCACTTCTAGCCAGCTCAGTCTAAACCACATCATCCATTTAGACAACGGTAAAGTACTGACTTTATTTTCTCTGCTCTGTACAGCTAATTTTTCTTGAAGTCAGAACTGAATTAAAGTATAAGGAGTTCACTGGAACACTGTTTAAAATAACAGGAAAATGTTAAACACATGGCTGGGTAAACTGCAAAACATTCATTTGGAGGAAAATATAAATGAAGCCAGTAAAACCAACTCGGCTGCTTTATACCGTTGGCCCTCCTCAACTGGAGCTCGTGCACACAGAGCGCAAACATCAATATGTCATTATATCAGGGACTTAAACACCAAAGATTCTGCTATCTGCCCTGGGACTGAGGACCAGACTACATGGGAATACAGAGGGATGGATGCCTGTATTCACTAGAGTTATATCAAAATAACTTAGTCACCAAAAAAGGGAAAAAAAAAAAAAAAAAAAAACGGGGCCAGCAGTGGCATGGTGATAAAGGGCACTGGATTCCCACATGGTTAAGCATGGTTCGAGTCCCGGACTTGGCAGTTTGCTTTCTCACTTCCTCTCTCTCTCTCTCTCTGATCAAATTAAAGTAATAACCACAAATAAAGTTAAATGAAAAAGTATTAAATAAATTAGAACATAAACAAAAATACCAAGTACAGAAATGTGATTACTATGCTACACTTAGTGTGAAAAATAAAGAGTATGTATATACATGTCTGTATAACGTGCAGATGTGAATTATGCCACGGACTTCAACAATTTGGAAATTTCTTAGGCTCCTACTTAACACCAGCA